TGACTTTCCGAATAAAATTTGGTTGGCGAGGTAAGTCGAAGGTGGTACATGCCAATAGGCTTTGGCATTAGCACAATCCAGGCCATTTCAGTTGGAATGAAGTGAACAACTGAACAAATGATGCTGCTGAAGACGTGTCACCTGAAAAAGCCACTGTCGGAGAAGAAAATCTACCCACGTTTGGAGATAGAAAACAGTGAAGCCATTAATGAAGTTACTACCAGTGATGTGACTGCTACCGATAATGGGACATTTCCTGATGGAGTAGATGAGCCCCACATGAAACAGAAGCCAATGAGACGGAGACCACTACAGAAGAAGATATGTTCTGTAAAATTAGGAGACTTTGTTGTATTTTAATTTTGTTTCTTAATTGTGTACATCTAATCAAGTTATTGTTAATTATCTATTGGTTTAATGTAAGTGATTATTGTTCGGGACGAACAATACTAAGGAAAGGGCTGTGTTATGACAGTGGAAGTCACATGACATTGGGAGCATGCATGCTGGAGTTTCTAGAAGGATCATGACTTATCGGGGAACCTCGCAAATGTCCCAGTGTTTGCTAGATGCCCTCTTTTCTAGTATATAAGCCAGCGATAGATAGATATGCAGATAGAGATAACTGAGTCAAGTGAACAGTAGGCACCGTAAGTATAGTGTTTGAATCACTGTGATTTATAGCGTGTGTTATAAAGGTTGTTAAGTTTAAAGTGACTGTGGAAATTCTGTATATTACAAAGTTGTATCGAGAAAAAATAAACTAGTTTTAATTAAGAAAGGACTTGTGTCGCTGAAGTTCCTCGAAAAGAATTTATACCGGAAATTAACAAACAACCAGATACGTAACAATATGACAAGGACATTCCTATAGCAGATGACGCTTCTCCGGTTATATTATGTGATTTTTGATAAGATAATGGGCACAGTTTAACAATCACGGCAAAATAGTTTACAAATAACTTTATATAGCTTGAATTTTTGAAAACATTAACCCCATTTCAAAACACAAAATAAAGTCAGTACTTCATTCAAAAATAATTTGCTTCTCACTACAGAGGATTGAATATGTTACATGAAAATGATTTTGAATATGCCAACCAGCAAGTCACGCAGCAAAACGTGGTGGAATGGAACGTATCAGAACAACATTTTGACATTGCGTAAGTTGTGTGATGCTACCGAAAACTGACTGCTTCTGCAAAGGATACCCTTTTCAACGCAAACATACATACACTTGGATGTTAAAGATGTGTTCAGATTGAGCAAGGCAGTGGCTTGCAAACTGGGAATCTCAGATTCATAGTCTGGGCACACTAGCATCTAGGCAGTACCAGGCCTTCTGATTTTTCAAAATCTTAAGATTTTATTGCTTATTTACTTTTATGAAAGAAATATTACTGTATCAAGCCAAAAATATTTTCAAAGACTAGTTTGCTGACATTGTTAAACAATTTAAAGTTACCTTTTTTAGGAAAAAAAACAAACCTTAATGTTACATCATTTGTTTGCTTGTAGTTAAGAATAAAACTACACAAAGGGCTATCTGTGCTCTGCCCACCATAGTTATCAAAACCTGGTTTGGAAGGGTTGTAAGTTTGCAGACATACCGATGTGCCACTAGGGGGCAATGTTACATTGATAATTTTTTTTCTCCAACACACACACACCTTCGAATATAACTTACACCGGAATATGCAAAGTTTTAATGTTTAGAATAGTGATTTTAATTGGTGTATTTGGGCATGGTTATGTTTAATCATTTACAAGAATGGTTGGGCCAAGAGTGGCCTGGTAGTTAGCATTCCATACTATGAATTCTAGTGTTCACATTCCACGCTTAAGGGTTCTGAGCTTGAGAAGCTTTGTGTATTTCGGCGTTGGTAAGGTTTTATAAAAAAAAAGAAGTAATAACCGATCACAAAGAATGATGTTATGCAAATCAATTGTTAAATAAATATATAAAGTTTCTACATAATCAGATGACATTAATTGATAAGTTTTACAATGCGAACTACATAGGTTTTTGTGGTCGCAATTTTTTAATGTACATGTTTTTGTATTTTCTTATTGTTAATATGTGCATAAACATTTACATTGCCAAATTTTGAAACTTGATCCTTTTTTTGTAGACATTGTTGTATTTTCTTATTGCTAAAATGATAGCGCTGAAGAATGATTAGTTTAACAGCTTAATATATATATATATTGAAACTGACGTCAAATTACTCTTCATCTAATAATATAAAAGTAATAAGCAATCGTAAAGAAATTTCATATGCTGTCTACCTGCATGAAAATCAATATTCTTAATTTAATTAATTTTAAGTATTTATTGTATTTGGTGGATAACCAGCAAAGCAGGAGAGTTAGTTTTGCTAATAACTGGAGGTTTTCAGGTCTCAGGCTTAGATGTAGATTTTCCAAACAGTTGTGACTGTTAAGTCACAAGGAGATTAGATACACACTTACACAAAGTACAAATATTTACTATCACTTTTACAATCAACAGTACAAATAAACAATACTCTGTAATACAATCAACCACGGGAACAGTGATCATGTGTTTGTTGGTGTGAGACTGGTAAGTGCCGAAGAGGACTTTAATAAAAAAACATAGATTTTGTTAGTGCAAATAAGCCTCCCTTGCGAGTTAAACTAAGTTGAAATAAAGTTAAAGAATTTACTATTTGAAAACATACCCAATTATGTTTAATATACCTTTAAATACTCTAGAATAAATCCAAGACTTTACTTGGCTTTCATTTTAAACCTTAAATCTTAGAGCCAATGCTAACACTAAGTTTGTTCACCCTTACCATGAACCAATCCTACTAAAAACAGTAATGGGAAGAAATGCAATAATAACACTTTAAACTAAAGATGTGCACAAGAACTGCTTGTATTCTTAACTTAATGTAACACTGAAAGTAAAAGTATAGCTGGATATTCTGTGGAACACAAATGCACAAATAATGGAAACACTTAAATGAACTGAAAACTATGTATTCTATTAAATTCTGCAACTGCAGAAACCATGTAAAACCTGTGATAATCTACTCTTCCAACACTGTCTTAAACATGTCAACAAATCCTCAAGTTTTTAAAAGAAAAAAAAGTGACCAGTTTTTGTTATATCAGCTGGCCAATAAATGGTAGAGATCAAGAATGAGCCCATTTGCAACTGTTATCCAAATTGCCAACAAATATAACTCAACAATGGCCTCCACCTAGACTTCCATTGACCACATAATGGAAGCTGCAGTTAGTAATTCACTTAAATTATTCTGTATTCAATTGAGAAACTCTGAAAACAAAATAATTTTGAAATTTTACTTTTTGACTAAAGGGGTGAAAAAAACATCCCTGTATAACATATTTCATGCATTGTTCAAGAAACAAAATGTCTGTCATTTCTCACTGAGTTTACAATTAACTGTTTTACACACTATAAAATATTACGATACTTAGTTTTATGTTAATAGAGAAAAGAAAGTTGGGCCTAGATTCATAACTTTTAATCCTTCATTTGTGGCTCGTGGAAATCTGCCTACAACCCCATGTGCAAAGATTCCTGAATCTTTGCAGTGGGCCATTCAAAATGTTGTATGCAATATGCTTGCATCATATGATATCAACTGCAGTTGAAGGGTTAAAAACCAGTTTCAAAGGATTGTATTGTTCTTTTAATATACATGTACTTGAATTAAGTCAAGTTTACTTCATGTAACAATGTGTGTGACGATTTGTTTATTTGTAGTTTTTAGCATGGTACCAAAGTTTTATTAACATTATAAAAAAATCATGACCTTCAATTTCTATTAAACATTGTTGACTACTAATGGATGCTTCCCATCCAGTCAACAGCACACACATATATATATATATATACACCTGGAAAAAAGTTAAGCACCCCCAAATATTTTTCAGGATTGCTTTTTGAAAATAAGGTTTAATTTCCTTGAT